CCAGCCAGCCATGCTGGCTGGGGAATTCTGGGAGTTGAAATCCACCCATCTTAAAGTTGCTGAGGTTGAGGAACCCTGTTCTGTAGGGTTCAAACCCTCAATTGTGAATTGAAGTCATGGCCCTTTACAAGAGGGATGGTGGAAGTCATGTAAAACCTCGCAAGGGAACGTGACCTAATGTGATAGCTGTACTTCTCTCTCTCTCTCTGACAACGTAAAGGATGGTGGCCTATATGTACCATTCTGATGGATGGAACTTCAGAAAAAGCTGATCTTCTACCAATGCATACGTTACATTGAAAACCTATTTAATGCAATATAGCCTGTCCAATGGTCTAGCTCAGTGTTTCTCAACCTTGGCAACTTGAAGATGTGTGGACTTGAGTTTTGGGAGTTGTCCACACATCTTCAAGTTGACATGGTTGGGAAACACTGGTCTAGCTTTTCCAGATGGTCTTTGTGACCATTAATTGTGGTTCGTTGCCAGGGGCTCCCTCAGATGGGACCCTTGCTCACACCACCTGGAAATCATGGTTTAAAAACACATGCACAGAGGCATCTCAGAAGGTTTTTGGCTCCTTGCAATCAGCAGCGGTTTAGTATTGTGGGCCCACAAAATGTGTCCATAAATGAGAAAGATTAAAATTGGAACAGAACATCTGTGGACTAAGGACATAGCCTCAAAGATATGGAGAGTTACTTTCCACGTCATTTTTCACCACCACCTTTTTCCAGCAGCAAAACATTCCACTCAATTTCGGCTTCCTATTGTACCTTTTCAAAAGTCTTTGTGAAAACTCATGTGCATTTTCAGGGGCATTTCTAGTGATAGCTATATATTAGGTACATTTGTCCTACCAAAATTTTCTTTGCAAGCAAGTCTCCTTAGAGTACCACAGACTTCAAAATGCACCACCCTCTAAAATCTAAATTCTATGGGAATGTGTTACTAATACAATTTTTAAAAACATTGAGCTGAAAAATTAAGAAATATTCAATATCCATGATTTAATATTCCAAAACTTATATTTTATTTTTAGTTATTTTATTTATTACTAACCTTTGTAAGTAGCCTACTTGAGCAACTTTAGGCAATTTTTTTTTTAAATTCCCAAAATATAGCAGCACCTTGTGGACAGCACTGAAAGCAGAAACTGGGGGAAAAAATGCATTGAAATGTTAAAAGAGCTGATCCATTGTTCCTGGCTATGCGCCATTCAACCCTTCCATTTACAAAATGGGGTTAATTTAAGTGACTTTCCTCAACTCAGTGCACCCCAGCGATGTTGGATGTCAACTTCCATCCCCAACTATCAAATTTTTGGCTTGCACGTGGCTGGAGAAGACTGTATTTTATCAACTCATGCTGTAGGGTTATAACAATACTGTATTTGCCCGAAGCTCTCATAAGGCTCTTTGCACGAAAATTATCATTAATTACTGGGAGGAGCTGATCTTCCCTCTCTCTTTCAGTCAGTGCATGCATATTGAATTAGGATCTCTAATCCAGTTAAATAATGCAGTTGTGCTGCTCTGGATCTATTCGAACTGGGATCTGAGGACCACCTGGGCCTTCAAGGTATTTATGACTTGCCAGTTAGCTCTTACTAATATTCCACTTTAAAAGTTCAAAGGTGGCTTGGATGCACAATGAAAACCTCTTTATGACCCCCTCAAGAGGGATTGCCCATAACCTCAAACTAATTCCTTTTGAGATTTGCACTTGCTAAATTACAGAGTATGAAGACTGTGTGTGCGTGAATCTCCTATTTTCAAGGCCTGCAGCCTTTCCATCCCCTCTCTTTATCTCAATAAATCAGGATCAATGCCCCCCCCATGGGAAATGGCAATTTGTCCCAGGTTGCACCAAATGCTGTAAATTTAATGCCCCCCCCCCCGAGGCTGTTCTAGGGTCCTTGACCATTACTGAAGTTCAGCTCATAACAATACATGAAGTAGAACCTGAAAACAGGAAGCAATTAACTAAAGGTACAATAGTCCCATAGAACATCAAGCATGCTTTGAGGGAATACACTAGCCAGTGTTTCTCAACCCCAGCAACTTTAAGATGTGGGGACCTCAACTCCCAGAATTCCCCAGCCAACATGCTTACTGGGGAATTCTGGGAATTGAAGTCCACCCAGGCTGGCTATGGAATTCTGAGAGTTGAAATCCACCGATAATTGCTGGGGAACTCTGGGAGCTGAAGTCCACACATCTTAATGTTGCTGAGGTTGAGAAATACCACACTAGACTAACTCATGCTTTAGACAGTAGCACTTTACATGATGGAAAACCTTCACAAATTACTAGAAAGATGTAGTACTCTGCACTGGACGTTTTCGGTGAGTTGTTTCCCATCTGGTTGCTTTTAGTGAAAAAGAAATGTACTACAGATGAGTGCCCGTGTGTATTTTTGGAGCTTAGATAAAGGAACAATAAATGTGTCTTATTTCTAAATAAATGCACCATCATATTGAGGTTTCATATATCTAGTTTAAAAAAAGTAGGACAGACTGATGATTAATTAATTAATTAGACTGAACTTTCCCATCCAGTGCCTCCCAGATGTTAATTCATTGCTGTTAATTAATTGTTGATAAGGAATTACTCGCGCCCGTTTGGGAAAGCTGTGATACAGCTTCAAAGGAGATGCTCTTTGATGGCTTTTCTCCTTGCCACCCAATTATACTCTCTTGCACATGCTAAAAAAAAATGTTCTAGTAATATGGCATATTTTGCATAAAGGTACAGTATTAGGTTACCCTGCCAAGGTTCCTCATTCAGAAAAAAGAAATATACCAGATTTACAGGTTGTCCTCATTTAGCGACCACAGTCAGAACCAACAACTTGGTCATTAAGCAAAGTAGTTGTTAGGTGAAACTGCAACTGTGCTTACAATCTGACTCCAGCTTTCTTTCGCTTTACAGACCTGTGAAGGTCATAAATACGAGGACTGGTCACAAAGTTTCTTTTTTATCACTGTTTTAACTGTGAATGATTGCTAAACGAGGTAGTCACTAAATGAAGACAACCTGTATTTGCAAAGACTTAGAGCCACACTGTACCACCCAACAGACAAAGCTTGTTTTAAAAAGGGCCTTTGGTATTTAGAGCTTTTTCCAGAAGCAGTGTTATCCTCTAGCCTTCTATCTGATCATCTTCTGCATGTGTTGATCAGAGGCCTGAGTGATGAAACTATGACTGGGTTTATGAGCACACTAGACTAAAATGGAAAAAGGTAGCTGGGGGTTCAGTGATTACGGGAACCAGCTGTGCTCTGTAACTGTTGGGCGAACAAGACCATCCCATTAAGGCTAAACAGAGTTTATTTGTCTAAACAGTACAAGAGCCCAACAATTTGTCTCCCCTGGGTTTACGTCTTCATGTATTGCTTGAACCCAGTCTGCAAATCACACATGGATGGATCACCTCTAGGACCATTCTTCTCCAACTCAGGACGTGCCAGGTGTGTTGCCTACAATTCCCAGAATCCCCAGGTGCTTGGATGCCCAAAGGTCAGAAAAGTCAAGATGGCATCCACAATGGTGCAATCAAAGCTCTGCCTGGGAATTCTGGGAGTAGTAGTTGAACTTATCTGGAATTCACCAGGCTGAGAAAAGCCATCCCAGGAAGAGATTCAAGACACCAGATCATCTCTTGAACATCAATGCTAAGTTTGCACCAGGAAGATATTTCCCCCCTCTCCCTGTCACCCATTTCCTATCTCTTTCCTCCATTTGCAGGAGAGAGGAAGAGTCAAGTTAAATGAGTAAATTATCATCCTGATTTGCAGCTTCCCACCAGTGTGTCTTCTCCTGCATTTGCTGCTCTGGACAGTCTTCTACTTATGAACTTTTGAGTTACGAACTTTCGCCGATACAAACCTGTCCACAACTCCAACAATGAAGGTCCCGGAAGTTTATGGCACGCCGCATATGTATGCTTGGTTGGACTTACAAACAAAATGGACTTATGAACAGCCTCTTGGAACGTAACCTGTTCGTAAGTAGAGGACTGTCTGTACAAGAAATCTTCATCCCTCCATGAAATATAAAAAACGAGGACACCACACAAGGGTTTCACAACATACATCTTTAAATAAATTCAGCTAACAGTTGCTGTCCCAAAGAAAGGAATAGAGAAGTCAATGGGGTATGTGTGGAGGGGGAGTCCTTCTCTGCTGACCTGGCCAGCATCTCAGCTCATGGTCCAGCGAGGTGGGCACACTGCCAATGGCTCATCTGCACCTGACAAATATGCCAGTTCCCGCTGCCCACAGCAGGCAGGAAAAGGGTCACAAAAAAGGGACAACTTTACAAAATAATAATAATAATAATAATAATAATAATAATAATAATAATAAAGAAACCCAGCCCAGCTTCAGTTTCCAGAGAGGCTCCAGGCCGCCCTCGCAAAATTTGTTGCATTAGGAGTTTCGACAACGGAACGCAGACTTGGCCAACTCTTCCTTGGAGCTGTTGTACTAAGGAAGCCCCCGGGAGTCACGGAGACCACCAGATCTTGCCCACCGCCACCTCCCTCAGTCAGTCAATACGGAGCTTCACTTCCCGGTGGTCAATGGGTGTGACAACCTCATTGGCGTAGCCGTTTTCGGAACACAAGGAAAGTTCGTCCGTTGTCTCGACGCCACTGTTGATTTCTGAAAAGGTGGCAAAGGGGTCCAGGGAATTAAACCCAAAAAGCAGGAACAAATTGAGTCCAAAAGCAAAGAGGAGGAATAAAAGGAATCTGGGTTCATGCCTGCTATCGGATAATGTACATAAACATTGGCCATTCTGCTCCTGCACCTCAGAGAAAGTACAGAAATGCAGATGGATTTCCAAGTATCCATATGGTTCTGTCATTGGATCTCTTGGAATAGTGCAGTTGTTGTAATTAACAGAGTATTTCAGACACTGGCTGGTCACTCTGCATATTCGCCACATGGATTAAAGCAACACATCCCTTGATGTGTTGAGATTGGCCCCATTAATTTGACAGATGCATCCATGCAGTTTTCTTGACAGCAAGATAGGTTTGCCACTGCCTTCTTCTCAATTTATAAGTAGTCCTCACTTAATGACCACAATAGGGACCAGAAAATTGGTTGTTAACTGGGGCAGTCATTAAGCAAGTCACCATGGGACTGGACCTGATTTTATGATCTTTTTATGACAGTTGTTAAGCGAATCATGTGGGCATTAAGTGAATCCAACTTCTCCAATGGACTTTTTTGCCAGAATTTGCTTAATGACCACATGATTCACTTAATGGCCATGTGATTTGCTTAACAACTGTGGTGATTCACTTAACAACCATCATAAAAAAGGTCACAAATCACGATCACGTGACTGCGGGGGGTGTGGTGGTTTGCGATGGTCTTAAGTGCGAGTACAGGTCGTAAATCACTTTTTCCAAGCAGTCATTAAGTGAGGACTACCTATAACCCTGGCATTTTCTGGTGGTCTCCCATCCCAATGCTAATCAAACCCAATCCTGCTCAAGCTTTTCCAAATCAGACTGCTGCTATATCCTATTTGGTTAGGGAATGTATAAAATTCGATCTATGTGCTAATTTAGGCACATTCTTCACAATGTCTTTTTAATATGCATAACAGCTAATCCTTATGCATATTTCCCTTTCAACTCATATTCATCTGGGCATATACAGGAAAACCTTGATTCTCTGGATCTCTAATAGCAGATTTCAGATGCGAGGGACAAGATTTTAATTTGGACTTCACCCCCAAACAATGGACAAAGTCCGTTGTTTCCAAAGCGGTCCAGACAACTGACGGTATTTGCATCACAAGAGCACTGATGTTTTTTCATCATCTGCATCTTCTTTTTGTCAAAATGACCTAAAGCCACACAAATGATGTAAATAATGTGCATTAGGATTTAAGAGAAATTCCTCCCTTAAATGGTCCTAAACCCCTAAATCGTAGTTTAAATTGGACAAACAGGCTTACCAGATCTGGGTTGCAAAATGCCAGATCACTCCGTTTTGACAACTCCCCATCCGCTTGTCAGCCCAGAAAACAGTTCTCACACCTTAATTGCCACATTCTTATGTTTGAATTGAATTCAATCAAACTTCGTTTTGCCCTGGTTCCAGCAAGGAAGGAAGCAGAGGGGAAGGCAGGGTACTGAAGAGGGTGAGTTCAAAGTCCCAACAGGCCACCCATCTCAAGGACAATGGTAGAAGCAGGTTAAAATTTGGTTAATAAATAAAAATAAAATAAAAGCATAAACGCTGATTTGAAAGCAAAGCCCCCGTCTCCATCATCCAAGCCCCTGTATCTGGAAGTTTCACTGCATGCACAAGGGCTCCTTTCAGACACGCAAGAACAGCCAAGCGAGGTTGTAGGAGGCAATCTGAGATACGTCCACCACCTTTGTTCCTTCTGGCTTTTTAAAAAGATGGTCCAGATTAAGAGCGAAGAGGACAGCCAGTCACCCTGTCTGATCTGGTCCTGAGATAAAAAAAGTGCAATGCCGTAACCGGGGAAGGCAGGATGAGAAACGGACGAAGGTTAAGGCAAACATTCCTGCGTCATAAAGCAAGCCAGAATTTAACTGGGACCTTCCTGCTGCCTTCCACCATGCCAGCCTTTCAAGCAGAGTTATGCTACAGCAGTGTTTCTCAACCTTGGGAACTTTAAGATGCGTGGACTTCCTCACTAACCCAAATTATAACCCCCCTCCCGCACGGCCGGTGGAACGCCTCTGGTGGCGTTGGACATCGTCTCCTCGAGTACAGCTCCCC